TACCGCGGAACCCGGCCGGTCCCTCCGGGCAGCCCTGGGCCCCCCCGCCAGCCCTGAGCCGCCCGGCGCGGGGTCGCCTGGGCTCCACGCGCTCTGTGGGGCGGGCTGTTCGGAAAGTCAGCGGGAACCCCTTGGCTTTACCGAGAAAATGTTGATGCTTTATTTCCTCTTTTCTTGCTGTGTGACCAAACAGCCAGCGCTTCTCGTGGGACAGTCGAAATCCTGATGTGTGTCGGCATCTGCCCCAAGTCAAGAGACAGCCCTGTGCACCCATAAACCCCTCTTACATCAGGACATGGGTTTTAAGAGAAGGCAGACCCAGGATATATCGGTTTATAGAAGTGCTGGGCAGTGGGTCCCGCAGGGACGGGCTCTCGGCTGTCGGGGCAGCGAGCCCTGTGGCTGCGGACAACAGGAAAATAAAGCGCAGACCGCTCGCTGAATTGCCCTGGGCAGGTGACACATTCAGACCCCCAGCGTCAAATCCTGCATTGCTGGCTTCGTTACAATAAAAATCCACCTGGGTAATTAGAAAGCCACCCCCTCGCTGGCGGGGCAGAGGATGTTTTATGGTGCTGTCCCACACCGCCCGCCCTGGGGAGCGCCCGAGCCCCCGCGGTGACGCCGTGTCCTTGGGCTGTACGCAGCCAGCCGCTCGGCGAAGGGGACGCGTCCCTTTGCTTCAAATACTCCACCAGAGAGGGCTGCAGCCGCGGGGCAATTCTCCTGCGTGCTCAGCTCTACGCAGGAATTGTTGGGGGGTTTTTTGGTTGTTTTTTTTTTTGCTTTTTTAAGTCTTCCCAACTTTCCCGTATTGGGGGAAATAGGTGCCGGTCGCTCTCCCTGCTGCGTGTTCCCCATGGACTGCTGCGGTTCCCAGCCGGACCCCAGCCCTGGACCCGGCACCACTGGTGGATGTTTTCCCTGGATAACGAATATGTTTTGATTAATGAATGGTAATTGAGGATGGAGGTGAAACCGAAATCGGGTTTTGTGCCACACCTACCCACGGGCTCAGACCTCTTCACTCCTGTTGTGGCACATAGTCAGAAGTGGCCCAGCACCCACCGAAAGCAAGGCTGAAACGCCAGCCGTGGCGGCTTAGCTGTGCTTCCCTAGCGGCAGAATTATCTCCAGGGGTTCCTGCCTCCCTCCCCGCAGCAGTTTGGCCCCCCCAGTGGTACCAATGCAACCAGCTTCCCTGGCTTTAATCCCCATTGCCAACGCAGCCTCACGGACAGCACGATGGGGCAAGGGGAGAACTTCACCAGAGGCCGGGAACCAGCAAGTCCAAGGTAAGAGGCTCTGCTGCTGAAGGAAACGCATCCCAGGAGAGAATCCAGGACCCTCAGGATGCCAAAAACCAGGACGACAGGAGGCTCCAGGTTGCACAGTTTGGGCTTTAGGTCTTTTGGTTTCAGGAAGCAAAAAATTTGGGTTTGTAACCAAACTCTGATTTTTCCCAGACACAAGCCAGCCGGGGACGCGGACGCTTCCCAGCAAAGGCTGTCGGGGTGATTTGGGAAGAGCATTAATGGGGGTCCTAGAATGGCCCCAGAGCATCACCAAGCTCTTGGGCCTGTGCGCACAGGCCATTGGGTTTGGGCTAGAAAAGAGAAGAAGGAGCAAATGAAGGAGGAAAAGCCTCTTTTTTCCATCAGTGAGAGGCAAATCAAGGGGCTCAAGGGGGAGATTTAATTTCGCCCATCGTGCATCAGGGGTGAGATGGGCGAGCACAGCCCTGCCGTGGTGGGGGGACCGGCTGGGCGATGGGTTGGGGCCCCTCCAGCCCGATCGACGGCTCCTCCGCTCTCGGGGCAGCGGCTGGAGGGGGGGGTTCACCCTGCGAGGAGAATTCCCTGTTTCCCCGGGGAAGGTCACTTGCTGATCCCCAGGTTCCCATGTGGCGCTGCCAGCCCTGGATCCCAGCCACCGGCACCGAAAAAACCACCCCTGCCCAAACCACAGGCTCTGCTGCGCTGGAGGCGTGGGTGA